GTTTGTTTTGGTTTGCGGTATCCTTCGTACCCGGTGCGCATATTTGACTCGTAAATTTCAAGTCGAGATGTGAACGATTTTACTGATGGGTGAATCTGGTGCTCTACACTAGGTTTCATTGGCTTTTGGCTCAGTGGATGGAGCGCTTTCTATGTTCTGTAAGATTATATAGAAACTTGCAAGCTCGTCGTGACATGAAAAAAAGGCAGTCCTCAGGATCCTAAGCTCCCTCATGTATCGTTATCTATCCCACAACAGATTTCTCTCTCCAACCCATGATGCCGGAGCCATTAGGAGACCCCAGAGAATCATTCACCATCCGATCTTCATGAACACCATGTGCATAGGAATTCCAGTGTTGATGAGCTGTTTCTTTGCCACTATCGGGATCCTCATGACTATGAAGCACAAACGAGTGGGAGATACTTTCGAAGCTGTGATGGTAAAACTTGAGGAGCTTTCGAATTCTTGGAAGCCGAATAATCCCCAGACCGCTGAGGACAACCAAAGCCTGATGAATATGATGGAATCCCTCCTTTCTGAAGGCTCGGGTATTTTTGACTTGCTTCAACTGATGGCCATCGGTTGGGCAACCATAGCGATGTTTATAATCATGGTAATTATCTAAGATTAGGCGCGACCTTTTGCTCTCTCATCAAAAAGCTGATCAAAAACATTCTTTGTTTTTACGACTCTTTCTTCTCATTTTTCCAAAAGTTTTACATCGGTACCACAGTCTCCGTTGGGAAGGTAACGAAGCGCACGATGGCAATTGCCAGTGGAAAGACCACGCTCATGAAAATTAGCTCTAAATATTTGCTTCCTAAGACCAAGGATGTGATTTCCGAAAGTCGCGATGACTTGGATTCCAAAGACGAGACCGCTTACTCCCAGACTGCACCAGAACTAAGCCCGGCATTCAGGAACAGTGTTTCTTCAAATAGCATTCAAAGAAATCTGTGTCAGTATCTTTAAATCATAGCCTTCAGTTAAAGCGAAAATTAGTTAAGCAGTTTGATCTGATGGCGTTTGTCATTCACTTTTGTCGAGTTCAGTTTTCATACGCATAAGTTGCGGACTTATGATCATCGCTCTAGGCTTCAATTTCTGTACCAGCTTGATTGTTGTGGTTAAGATTCGATCGCTTTTAATAGAGTAAGTGAAAACTCAGGCAACGGATAAGATTCTTCAAGAAACGGCCTGAAACTTATGGTACAATCCTCAACACAGAACCTATTGGCAGGTCACACTCTCTTCACTCATCGCGGTAACCTGCGTGTTACTCTCACTTTCGTTGCTTATTCAAAGCGTAAGTTCGAAAATCAAAAGAGAAATCTACTTCTTATTATTCTCACTGATCTCGTTCTCTATCTTTCACTCAGCTAATGCACATCCGACACTAGCCATGCTGCCCAAAGATTTCTGCTTGACAATCGCACAAGCGCCAGACAGTGATTAACAAACGCTATTCGACCTACTCATCCGTAATATCATTTATGAAGTTCTGATCATCAGATTCTTAACATACCCCCCCCCTCCCCCTCATTTCAATAATCAGTGCTTGCCCTGATCCAATCTCGCAAATCCATCAATTCTCTTTCATCTGCGTTGTCTGATTTGCGAGATTGTGGACATTTTTCTACTGTCAAATATCTTAGTAATATGGGTTCTCCAATGGACGAGAATACCTATTTTTAGCATCAAGACCCTGAACAATTACAATGCTTGCTTGCAAAATACAAACTGACAGGGGAATGTAATTTTAAATCATAGTGAATTATTTGCCACAAATTTGTAAAGAATCTGTTTGGAGTAAACAAACACTGAAATACTGGGAGTGGAATATCAGAACAACCCTGCTCCAAAGTAGAAAATGGTAGAATCTGTCAACTACTTAAATGCGGATTTATGCAAAGAATAATTGATTTGAATATTTAGGTTCAACAAATCCACTATGGTGAGGGCATTCCCATAATTACATCAATAATTATATTTAAGTTCCGGTGATTCAGGCAATGTCAATCTTTGATTAGGGAATAAAAGGAGAAGTTCAAGATTTCACTTCCAATTATCAACCCAACAGCTCAGTAAGACTGGTGTTGAATATCAGGACTGGCATCTTGAGGGTGGAATTGGTGCCATTCTAAAGTTGCCCAATTTGAAAGACATCTACAATTGGTATTCTATTATTTTGTCAGAAAAAAGTTTCCATAAGGTTCATGGTCATCTGTTTCAAAATTCAATGGATTGTTTTCTATAAACACATATAGTTACCCAATTACCACTCAAAGCTGAATCAAAGCCTGGCCACAGATGAAAGTCTTCTTATTGTGTGACTCTTACTCAACCAATGAGTGAATAGATGATCAAGTTGACCAGATGGCATTCAAAGTCCTTCATTAGTCCATTAAATTTGAAAATACCTAAAGATACAATTTGAATTTATTTTCAGCTTTGTAAGCTGATTTTGCATATTTCTTTCTTGTTGAAATAGGAATCTGGAGATCCTGTTGGCACAATTATCATTTTAATGAATTTCCAAATAATTCCATGGAAGAAAGATACATAGAAAAATGACTTGCATGTTATCCATATCACAAGAAATCAACCTTAACAAGGTCTCTGCTGTATTAAATCACCCAACACTGACACATATATTATTTTTTTCATGTTCTGTTACCCAGGGTAAGTGCAATTTAAAAAATCTATAAATAGGGAGGTTAACAATTGAAATTTACAAAGTCTCTTATGAATTTTAAGGTCCTTATCAGCAACATTTTAAAATTTTACAAGATGCACAGATCTTAGGGTTTCTGAACAATCAGAACAACTGTTTCATTTTTCAAAAAGTTTTTGAGAAAGACCTTAAAATGGGTTTGAAAGTCTGTATAAATTTCAATTGTGAGCCCCACTAATGTACAGTTTTTCAAATTTCATTTGTTTACTTGTGAGACAATTGATTCAGGTTTGAAGGAACCCGCCACCTTATGTAGCCACAGATAATAATACTTTTGAAATAAATAGGGGTTAAATACATGAAATTTGAATTGATGATGAAACCTGTCAGGTTGAATGCACATAATCTTGCATGTACTGAACACCAGTGAACTGTTTGACAATTACACCTTCATTTTCAGCGGGGAACAATTGGTCAAATCACAGTTCTTCAAAAGCTTTTGTCCCCAAAATATATCGTTTTATTTGCTCAAAAACAGAAGACTATTATAAGACAAATTTCCCTATCTTCTCAAAATACAACTCCATCAGCATGATTTCCTTGTTGATTTGCATTCTTCTTACAGTTGAGAAATCTTTTGTTCCAATTATCTCTTATTTCACATTCTATCCATACAGTTCTTCACTAATTACTGAATCATATTCATGAACAGCTCCCTGTGGATAGCTCAGCAATGGACAATCCCAAAAAGAATTATCAAATCATTTCTGGAGAAGGAAAATTTCCTCATAAAATTGTGGAGACTCCTCCAAGTTTAGTCTGTTCCAATGAGATTGACACAGCAAGCAGATCTCCCATAAGCACACCAGCTTCAGAAAACATGAATAGCCAGTCATATAAACAAGTGAGTTGCATCTCAGCATGATCAGGGAACAAATTTAGGAGATTTGCCTACTTATTAGATCTTCATAAAATCCAGGAGAAATTCAAAGCGGTAGGAAGCCCCCAAACTTCCAGACTGCAGAATTATATTTTCCCCTCAAAGATCCAAAATGATTCTAAATCCAAAACACATAAATCGGAAGTTGTGGATCCTTTTAAGGAAAAAAATGAAGAAGTAACAAAGCGCTGTTTGATTTGCTATGAGAAGTCTGGTGATCCACACAGAATGAAATGCTGTCAGAATTCAATTCACAAAGATTGTCTTGAGATTTGGCTGAGAAACAAATACTTCAAGCGCTGCATATATTGTCAGCAATCCAAAGACCCAATCTTGTTCCCAAGCATCTTATCAACAAGCAATATTCATCCAGTGACCTTATTTTTCAAGAATTTTATTCTGCGGGATACTTTCATCATCATCATAGTCTGGACATGGGTGTTTCATAGTATTTTAAATAAAAATCATTGAATCCTACTACTGTATTCCAAGAATACAACAAAAAAATCAGCTTTCTTGTGGTATACCTTTGATATGAAGTCATAGCTCTTCATTTTGGGATCAAGAATTCAACTTCTATATTGTTAGTGTAATATCACCAACACTGGAGTTTTCCTGTTGAATGTTGAAAGTATTAAACTAAAAGTAACAGTTCCAGCCATAAAAAAATGCAATGCAGTCACTACACTTTTCTACGGTGTAAGACTCAAAAGTGGTTGTAAAACCCTTTTTCTGGATTGAGAAGGGGAAAAATGGAGGTGCAAACTCTGCCCTTCTATACTATCAGAAACAAGACCCCCAAGCTTTTTTACGTGATAGGATTGGTTGGTTCAGGTAAAACTTTGTTTGATGAAAGGTAAAGGTTGAATGTATAATTGCTTATAAAGGAAACTGTTATGTTGTGTAACAGGTGAAAGGTTTATATAATTGTTTGTAACTGGTGAGTTATATATTGATTGACTGCTGAGTAGTGAACTGGAATGAGGAGACAACAACTGGGGGGAAGAGAGCCTCCTTTTATAGACAAAAGTTAGGGAATTTAGCTTCAGGGCAGACAAGAAAGAGTGATTTTAGCTGGCCTGTAGGTACAAATGAGTGAATTTAGCTAGTCTGATCATGCAAGTGAGGGAAATTAACCAGTGAGGCTGTGTACAATTAATGTCAAAGGCTGTGCTGCAGTGCGTAAATAATGTGAGAAAGTGTCAAATGAGGCAATCAATGATGGGAAAAATTCAGCTGTTGTCATAAATGAGGTGAGAAAATTAATAAGCTGTGGGAAAAGTAATTCAATCAAGACTGCGCAGCCTGCAAAGGCAGTGTGTGAGGTGACAAATAGAACCAAACTAATTTATGCGGTGGAGATAAAGGGGTGTGGGAAATTATGTTTATACGGTGGGCTGTGTGTAAGCATAACTGAGAGGTGATTTGAGGGATGTGACATGTGCTTGATTGGGTGTTGGCCTTGTGATATGTATCCGTAGGGGTGTGACTTCCAATCCGTGAGGGTTCCATTGATGCGTCCAGTGGTGACCTAGGCTGAAATTGTCCGTAGAGTCCATTTCTGAAGCCGTATTGGTTGATTTCTGATTGGATATTTGAGAAAAAAATATATAAAGGCAAAAACTTGAAATTTTTACATATTAAATTACCACAACGGTCTTTGTTAGCAGATCTTTGTGGTGTGGTGCCCTATACCAATGTAACACAGTGTAGCATAGTGGAAATTACCATGGTTCTAGTGGTCAAAGAAAGCACTGCTATGGTAACACTTTTTTTTGGAAAAAGTGTAGCTTAACATACTGGCCTAACTACACTTTCAGTTGTGGATGATTATGAGTTTTTGGTGTGAGGTTCATGGCTTCTGGACCATGGATGAAGTGGATTATGTACCAGCTGATTTTGCTTATAGGTAGGTCTCAGCTCCCTTGTGAATGGCTGAAAATTCCCCATATATGCTCTTGAAGAGTGTGGGGAAGCCCTTGACTGATCAGGGGAACAATTTGAATCAGTCACCTCTTCCTGGTCAACAGGTAAAAAAAGGAAAAAGAGTGAAAAAACTAGATGTGCCAACCATCCATGAAATTGGTGGTTGGGGAGCCTGTTGGATGTGCTCAGTTGTGCTGGGAAGGGTTGATGATGGTGGGGGTCATTGGCCATGAGCTTGGCTAAGTGCCACTCATTGTTTGGATACCAAGCAGGACTTGGGCCAGTGCCCAAATAAGCTAGTTGATGTATCACACAACATTTGAAAACAGCATGTGAATTATGTAGCTGAACTTGTAGCTAGTGAGTGAAAAATATCCAAGAATTTGTATGGCAGCTTGAGCCTTGGAGGGTTCTTTCCTCATGACAAAATCTAATTTGTCAATACCAATCATCTTGAAACTCCTGGTGAAAATAAACATGCATTGTCCTCACTCAAATATCAGTTTTTTTTTTATCCGTTGCGTGTAGCTTTGCATTTGCATGTCTTATGCAGCTTGCTGTGACCTTAGGTGTACAATATTATTTCGGCCACTGTCCAGATTAGCAAAGCCCCCGAGGGCCGGTGCCCGCGTCCGAAGGACTCTGCGCTTCGTGCCCAGCGTTAGGGTTAACACAGCCAGTTTAGCCTCCCAACAGGGGGGACTTGAGTTATGTTAGGCGCGTGTTACAACTTAATACATCTAACTTAACTAAGTCGGAGTGGCAAACCGGAACTCCAATTAGAAAGACTTGGTTAAGTACACATAAATACTCTATTGACCGAGTGCCCTTAACAGAGAACATGTGAAGTGGAAACGCGTCCAACTGTGTTGTTCGAACGTTCAAGCATCCACTCTGTAATGAGGGCGGCTGGCGCTGCTGCTCTTCTATCGAGCCGAACATTGGACAGTTCGTATCAAGGCAAAGCTGTCCCTTCGAATCAAGATTCTCTAAGTTTTGTGGTGGAAAGCAAGGAATCGATTTGAGACGAGGAGTGCACATCGGTTTGAAAAAAGCCAAGGTCTGTCAGTGTCAGGTCATGGCCCTGCGGAAATCTTGTGGTGATAACAAAGATCCAGTACCCCTTCTCTGATTGATGGCCCATCTTGATTAGCGTTAGTATATTTCACAACTGGCGTGCTCTGTTCAAGAGCATATCTGCTATCCATGGCTGTACAACAGACTCGAGATTGAGCTTGATGGAGAGAAGTTTTCCGCTTCCTGGATAAAGGGATTGGCGCGTTTGCTTTGGCAACCTTTTCTTGCTTGCTTTTCTTGAAAACTCTTCTGATATCAGAAAGCTTGATCAACCCAACCTCCCCCGAGCCCTCCTCCTGCTGTTTCCATCCAAGTAGTGTCGACCTTGAGGGAGCCATATTAATATATTTCCAAATTGCGTCTCTTCCCAAGATCCCCCCCAACCTCACTAAAGCTTTGATATTGCTATTGCTATTGGTATCAGGTGTAGTAGTAGGCAGGATGCGGACGAATAGCCGGGACGAACTTCCTAGAGCATCACACCCAGCTTCATCGAGCACGATGTCTGTCAACAGCTTGAGACCTTCCGAGTTTCCATTCAAGAATTTCTCATCTTGGCCTCAGCTTTCCTATGCCTTAGAAAACTTAGCCATCTCCATTGCTACGATCATCACTGCCTTTGCCGACTGTATCTTGACTCTTTATCTCTGGATTCCTCTCGGATTGACTCGCAGCTTGATCCAGAACATCATCAACCCCATGCTTCGGTTTCTCACCTCCCAACCCCAACCTGGCTATGAGGCCGAGATAATAGCGGCGAGGGTCATCGTTATATCCGGTGCTAGCTCGGGCATCGGTGCCAGTCTGGTCAAGACATATGCTGGTCCCAATAATGTCCTCGTCCTCTTGGCGAGAAACCCGGCTAGATTAAACCAGGTCGCCAAGATGGCCCGAGCGGCCGGATGCAAGGCCGTCGAGACTCACTCGATCGATTACTCTCACGACGGTGCCGAAACCGCGATCAAGCAAGTCATCCAGGGCGCTCACCAAAAGTATGGCTCCATCGACCTCGCCATCAGCAACGCCGGTACGGCCACCTTCACCGATGACAACCCACATGGACCAGAACCTTGGGGAGAAAAAGTTAGGCTTCAATCATTTGATCTTTTTTCCTATCTGTACTATCCCAAGAGTATCCATATAATCTGACTCAGATATCTTCATTTTGTTTTCTGATAGGCTGCCCAGAGAATCACCAAGATCAACGTGACCTCAACCTACGCGTTCATCATGACCGCTTGGGAGCTGATGAAGAAGCAACGCTCGGGAGATGTAAGTGCAATCAGATGAGGATCCTGGAAGAGACCCATGTAATGGATGCGCTAATAGATCCCAAATCATCATGATGCAGATCTGTATCATCTCATCGGCAGCAGCTTTCGCGGGACCACCGGAATTCGCAGCGTATGCGGCAACGAAGGCGAATCTGATGACGTTTTCGCAATCTCTTCGAGCGCTCTCTACACCCTACGGGATCCGAGTGAGCTGCATCTGTCCCGGGTTCATCGAGTCGGGTATGAGCGGAGACTTGTTGGCCGCGGGCTCGTCGGTCCCTGGATTTATGCTTGCGAACACGGGCGATATGGCCCAGCGAATCAAGGAGGCCGTCGACGGCGAACAGGCCTGTGCGATCTGGCCGATCAGTCACGCCTTACCGCTCATCATGGCCAGTCGATTGAATTGGCTCAACGGAGATTTGTCCCGTTGGCTCATGAGCAAGATGGGCGTGGCCGGCCAAATGGTCACCTAAAGCGACAAAAGAAGAATGAAATTCCGAGGGAGGATTACAAGTAGTCTATCTTCAACCAGATACAATCGAATCTTCCTCCATATTTTTCTACGTTTAAAAACAGATGACAGATGATAGTTGTTTCACATTCCGGCATTTAACACAAGCATATCTCAGTTTTACCCTACACCCTCTTGAGCTAAAAGAATTCTCGACTGTTAAACCCGTAGAAGCCGATATATGTAGAGTTCAGTTTTTGCGAAGAAAAAGAATTAGTTATCAATAATTTCAAAGTCGAGTTGAAGATCAGTCAGTGATGCAAAAAATACTGAGATTTACACAGAGCCCGCACAGGGCTGATTCCGATTCCGGAAAGTGGATGTAATCAGCTAATATTATACTGGCACAAAGCAGTTGTGGTAATACAGGCAAAAAGAAAAAAAAAGGATTCTTAAATCGACATGCAAAGAAAAATCAGTTAGATATAAGATGGGGGGTTTGTGGTTTCTAGATCGTCCGGAATTGATCGAAATCGCTTGTGGAAAGAGATGTTTTGGTTTGACTGGATCATCAGCCGGGAGGCTCGACTGGTGGCAATCCCTTCTTCTCTACTTCAACTAGAAATTGGTTGGCATCGTTCATTCGGACAGCTTCTTCATGAACTTTATCAAGCCACCTGGGATCAAAGAAGGTGTTCGGTCTCAGAACTAGATGGCATTTTTAACACGTTTAGAGTAAGAGCCTGGAAGACTAACCTCTGAAGTAGATTAGCGTTGTCACTCTTCAGATCTTTGATTTTTTGTTCCTGTTGAGTATACTCTAATTGAAGAGTAGACAATTCATCTTGTAAGATCTGGAAAGACAAGTTTGGTCAGCTTTCTTTCAGGACGGTGTGATCTTGAGGTTGGATTGGAGCCTGGTCTCACCTGAACATTTCGTTCCTTCTCCCTCATGACTTCAGCGTGGCTTGCCACCCGTTCTCTCAGTCTTGCCGCTTCGACCCTCAACAATCTTGTTTCATCTACCTCGGCCCGAGAGCGTTCTTCCCTTTCCCTGAGGGCTTCATTCATCACCAGTAAACGCTGCGCATTTTGTCCTTGAGTTTTGTATACGGTTGCCAATTCGTCTCGTAAGGTGCTTAGCTGAGATTCTAATGATGCGGTATAGGCTCGAGCTACAGAAGAGCTAAGAATTTGATGGAAATAATGTTTGATCGCCATCAGACAATAAATTAAGGGATGGTCTCTTCCCATAGTTTGTATCTACTCACTCTCCACCTCCAGCAGTTGACCTGGAACCACCGCCACCAATTGAACCCGCTGCTTTGAGAAGTGCACTGTTGCGCTCTTTGAGGATAGCCGTTTGCTGTGCGAGGCGACGGTCTGTTTAATTTATAAGATCACGATGGGTTAGCTTATGAGTCTCGGGAGTGAGGAAATGTAGGAATGTGCTCACATTGATTGATGATTGAGTTGTAGGCTTTCTCATTAGCATCCCGAGCAACCAAGCCCTCCTGGATGACATCCTGCCATGACATTGAGGACTCTGATTTTTGGGGAGCTTCTTCTCATTCGTCGGTTTCCGAAATCGAGGGTCGTTGTGTGTTCAAGTTGAATGGCCCTTGTCGATGGTTTTCTTGGCTCGACTCGAGTCTTGTGATGTCAATTCTTGGGAAATTCCCACGGGGCCCGAATTGCTCGGTCTGACGGGGCAGCAGGCCGGTCGAGTGCGGATACTCTATCCTGAAGTGCCTGCCTTTTGCTTCTGAAGACCATAATCGGCCTTGCCCAAGTTAAATACTACCACTTCGATTGTACCCAGCTTTGCAATATCTAGCCAACATTCAAATATGTAAATGCTCAGCTTCAAGCTCAACTTGGTGGATAAGAATACAGAAAATAGAAAGTAATTCACACAGATATCAATTCTGGACAAAACTTTTATATTTCAACTCCAGGTGGTCGAGGAGCCTTGGATAGTTTCGAAAAAAACTGGTTGTAGTAATATGACCTCTGAGTCAATAAATCGCGAGCGCTTTCAATCTTGCGATCTTTTTCCAGGGACGAAAGCCATCTTCATTGGCACATCAGTTGTATCTGAATCTGAATTCGTCGCCGTTGTGCTGTATACTGCTGAAGACCTTAAATCCTGTGCTGCAAGTTGTTGGTTTGATCTTCCGTTGGACATGTCGCCCATCGCCTGGGAGCACACCAATCGGTCCCAAACGAACTCACGAATCGTGTTAACGCGCTAGAAAAAACTGCGCAACTATCCAAGGTCTTGTTGAGTTCAGTGCATCAATCTTAAATCGCGCCTCAATGATGATTGTGGAGTTTCCGGTCAGCAGAATCAGTCAACCGGTTTGAATTCTGAACTTCAATCCAGTCTGATGAGTCAAGCATAAGATTATTCAACCTCGGACAGATTTTGGAAAAGATCTGATTTGGGCGAACATGGGTTGAGAAAATGTGAGGATATGTCATAGATCTGAACATGCGAGAGCTTTCCGATGGACTCCGGCCTCTTGTACCCCTTTTATTCCAGAAGATGCTCGGTCTGGATATCAGAGATTAATCAATGATCAGATTTTATTGGATGGAGAAGCGAACAAATCAATTCAATCGGGACTATGTCGGCAGCTTTGGCGACATCAAGCTCCCCTCTCAAGCTGGAATATTCTTTTGTGAACACAGCTCCCTAAGCATCTATAAAAACTTGTATAAACTTCTTGAAATTGTGATGTGTCATCTATAGCTGCTACCAAATTGCAATAATGACATTCTCTTAGACCAATGCTAGGCAGCGGCTTCAAGGCCGGTAATTGACGGTCAACGAATGGTTAGCTTCCTGCCAAGCAGCCAAATGTGCACTGAAAACAGTTTCGCGCTCCTGAGCAGTCCTGTCGACTGCAAGCTGCTGTCAATGTCTGCAACCCAGTAACATATTACTTGAGACAATATCCTTTGCGAGGATCGCAATTGAACTGGGCCTTTGCTTCAAGGAGTAGGTGTCCAATCTTTGCCCAGTTTTTAGTCAAACACCAAGCTTGGACTGAGCATGAGTTTGGCTTTGCCAAATGAGCCAACTACTTAACAGCAAGCTACCGAAGACTCATCACTCTGACAAAGGCATTAACGATTCTTCACGAAGAGGAATCCAATCGGACATTCATCAGCCAAACCCTTTTCACTAGACTACTGCCTATATTAATCGAGAGCCAATATCCATTAACTCGCGTCTGGAACAACGAGTGGAGTTTTGGATTAACAAAGGGCTCAAACGTGAACAGTCCTAATTCACTTCCCATTCCCCCGCCAACTGGCTTTTTACAAGCTGATGTATGGATTTTTACATCAAGCTGCACTTCCCCCTATGTTGAACAGTAAAAGGGTTGAGTTTGGCTCAGCGAAGGACTGTACTACAAGAAATAAGAGTGTCGCAATTGATTGTTGCAATAAGATCGTGGCGAGCCTTATGAGTCAATGGGTGTTTCTCAACACGCTGCATGTGCCTTTGTTTTAGTGTAGCAGTCGCGTAGCCGTGTCTTCCAGCCTTGAATATTTAAAGGCTTCCTCTTCAGCTCTCCCTCCCGCTTCCTCTTCTTCTTCATTCACTCATAAAAACTTTCCTCGCCATCAATCTTACCTCAAGAAGTCAACAACTGTAAGTAATACCTAGAGCTCCTTCCCTCCCTTCTACACTACTACTACTACTCCCCTTTCCTCTCATCGGCGATATTTCTAAGACTGAATGCTCTTCGTGATTCTTTCCTCCTACCACTTCTCTCTAGAGCCCTCGCTTGGTTCTTCCTTGTGCCGAGTGCCCAACGGGCCTCAACCTCAAGTGAGTTGCTTTTCATCATTTATCACTCTTCTCAGTAAAACTTAAGACATCCAATCAAGGCCTCTTCATTATTCTGACACTTTCTTTCAGCTGAGACGGGGTCATGGCGCCAGCCCTCCCAAACAGTGCTCCGGCCGCGGTCGGCTCCTTTCCAAGATGCCCACCATTGTCAAGCTCCCCGGCGGCCCGTCCCCACTTTCGTCTCCCGGGTCGGCTAAGGCCGACTGCACGGTTCACTCGGACCAATGCCATCAGTCGGCCCACTGGCCCACCACTGGCCCTTAACGACATCGAGATCAATGGAGAACTAGTCAACAAAGCACTCGGCCTTTCCCCCGCCTCCCTTCCACCTTCCACCCCTCTCCCTCAAATCCCACCCATGAAGACCTCTTCTCTAGACTACTCCACTCTCCCTCTTCCCCCTCTTCCTCCTTTGCCTCGCCCCCCTCGTCTTGCACGAGCTCCTCGCCGCCGCGACGCCATGATCATCTTGGTCCCTCAAGATCTTCCTCAAGAGTTTCGCGACATTCAACTCGATGCGCCCATGACTCAGGATGATGACTCAACTTGAATGCTTTCCAAATTTCGACTTTCTGGTATGTCTCCTCTACTCTAGTTATATGCGCACATCCTTGATACCAAGCACAAAGGGCCTGATTCTCACTTATTCTCTCTCTACCATAAAAAACATAGCCCATTTCTAGTTTCTTACTCTTCATCTGATATTCTCATTTTTTTGTAAATTAGTCTCAACACCTTCTAAGCCTAGTTTCAAAGGCCCCGCTCTTATATTTTCGATATAGGAAGGAACACTTGCATCTTGGACACTCTTGGTGTATTCCTAGTCTCTCCAATTCAACATCGTATTCTTTCTCTTTCATGAAAATCACCACCATTCTGTTTCTTACTCTTTGTCCGATTTTTTTCCTTTTTCTGTGGATTATTCTCAACACCTTCTGAGCCCAGTTTCAAAGGCTCTGATCTTATCTTGTCATCTTAGGAACCAAAATTTGCATCTTGGACATTCTTTTTGTATACCTAGTCTCACCAATGTAACATTTGTTCCAGTTTTTAATGTTGTAACATGAAGCTTAGCCTTAAACAAATCTTCTGTGATATATGATAGAATTAACCAAAATCTCAATAACAACCCCAAGATTTATTCTGACCAAACCCCCGTGATTCTGATGATTAATATGTCACATGTGAATTTGTGTCTTGCTGGAGTTTCGTCAATTGAAGCTCACGAAATTCAAGATACAAACATGAGGCTTGATTGCCCAACAGTCTTTGAGATAGACTTCATCTTAGGATCTCAAAGAGGGGAGTGAGCTATCAAGAATTGTCAGGGATTTCAGACAATGATCATTTCAAATATCTTTCTATTGAACATCAACTCCTCAACAGCACAAAAAATGAGCAGCTGAAATAAGCAAATCAGTGGACACAAGAAAAAAGAAAATTGACACATTACCGGGATGTGTAAATCTCTCTGAGCCACGGATTCAATAGTGACTCAATATGGTATGTTTGATTTTTCTCTTCACAGAAATTGTGGTATGAGGCTGCAGCTTATGGCACAGCGAATCCTCAAAGAAGGAAAGAAAAAAAGGCATGTCAAAACACTTCTTGATCAAACCATTTCAAATTTGTCCCTCTGATCCTCAGTGTCTTTTCCTTCTGATCAGTTCAACAAAGCAAGGAGGTAATCACGACTGACTGTACAAATCCTGTCAGATGTATGCGACAAGTTTTTTTTTTTGCGTTGAATTTCTACTGATCTTTGATTCTCCATAATTTTTATGCGGCTTTCCCCTGTATGTTTGTGTTAAAAATCAGAGAGAAAACTTCTTAAAAAAAGCTCATCTTGTATACCCAGTCGTTTTTCTCAGGGCCCACGCGATCTCCGTGTGAATTCCTGTCCTGGCGAAGCGGTCAATCGGTAGACGCGACGTCTCCGATGTGAGCCTTTCTAACCTCTTCATATCTTTTGTCTATCCTTTAGGCGGAGTTTCCTGAGCTTGCCTAGCATGTTTTATGCTCTGGTCTTCCTCCAACGGAAGACGGTCACGTGCATGTGTTGCTTTCGATGAGCTCCTGTCCGCATTCAAGCATGTTTATTTTTCAGCTATGAGTTCATGATGTTGAGGTGCACAAATATCAGATGACATGGGTAACTTGGGTGTATACGAATGAACAGTGTGTAGCCCCGGCGCAGTACTCGACTAGACTCGACTAACTGAGCACAAGTCTCCAAGGTCGCGCGACAGAAGGGACTCGTGCAGTTGGTGCAGGCGACCACGTGATGGACCATTGCCAGTTTCCGGACACACCACTTGCCACAAAACAGCACTCGGCAATGACATTATGGCCTACCGGACACATGGCCCATTGACGTAAATCGGGTATCTGAAAGCTGCGCCCGCTAGCTGAGACACAAAAAACTGTCCCCGCGGTGTACGGATAATTGAAGGAAAATTGACAAGGTTGATAACAAATGAGGAGCTAACCGATGTAAATACATATTAGGAACATTATTGGTCAACACGGCCGATTTTCATTTTGTTCTTTCCCATCGACGTGTAGTCTAGTACTGAGGACGCGAAGACGCTTACAAATGAAGGTATTATGAAAAAAACGACAGTCTCCAAGTCACTCCAGTCACGACCCATGGTTGCAGGTAGCTGTAGACTACATAACGCCTGTGACGGTGAGGCTATGGCTCGACCGATTCGATTCATTATTAATAAGAACGCATCATCTCTATACATGACTTACCAACACGGAGCATATTCAAACGCCACAATAGGTTACCAATCTTCATATTAACTTGCAAATACTGGGAACACTAGGAAGAAATTGCAAGATGAAAAAAAGAACCTCGGAGGAAATGCCCGCAAAAGATCTGTACTAGAAGTCTTGATGTAGTGCGCCCTTGTAAATCTCGAGTCTCAGGGAAAGAGTCTAGCGAGGAAAAGACCATATTCGAAGGGGTTTCGGTTGGTCTTTCTGAGCCTCCCTCCCATCTTTCAAGGATTAATATTCAGATGAATTGCTCTATAATCTTCATAGGGTTATCTGACGGAATGGTCTGGAAAGATCATATTGGGAACATCCATTTGATTGTCTTAATTTCTGAGAATTCCTGGTAGAGGCTGTGAGGTGTAGATAGAAGACGGTGCATGGTGTGCAGGTTTATAGAAACGCTCGCGGCTGGCACGAGCTTTCGAGTCTATCAGGATAAAAAAAAAGAATCCAGCTTATGAACCATGACAAGTAAACATTACAATTTCATAGACCTGAGCGAGAGCTTTCGAACTGGTAGTTTGACATTCATACATACAATTTCACCGATGACGGTGCTAATAATTAAATATCGCTAGACTAATCAAGATCTATATATAGAATGCTCGCGGCCATGAGCTCAAGCAGATGTTCTTCAAATAAGGAGAAGGCACTCAAGCAAAGAAGTCGACTCTCAAAGTCACCCTTGGATCAAATCCTCGAAACCGACAAGCTGCTTCATGGATCCGTCCGCTAAGGACCAGAAGCTGCAGCTAGCCAAACTTTCCATACGATCTTTTCTTGTCTCAAAAATAAAAATCCCAGGGTCATCGATTGTTGAGCTTTCCTAATCGACCATTAATGATTGGCGATGTGGAAGCCTCCGTCGTCAACATACTACCATGCCCGGGTGTGAATTTTTCTGCCGGGTTTACCAACCGTTTCTTCTAGTTACTCGCCAATCTCTTCGTCCCTCTCGAAACAATAGCTAAGAAAGGAAGCGAGAAACAAGTTACGACAATACAAATCTCTTTTAGTCGGATAACAAAGATGGGAATCAATCGAGTCTCGTCTTCCTTTCTTTTCTTCTCTTTATTCAGTTGCCGAGAAGGTTGCTTTACGATATTCTTCTGGGACTCCTCTGATTTGACTTTTGGAGTTCGAGCTTATATCTTCTCCGACATTGTGGCCATATTCCCCCGCACAATCCCGAGTGTTGCTTTCACCTTTGGAGTGTGAACCCACAGGTCCCAGCCATCAAATATCATCGTTCAAACCAAATCTTTCACAGAAAACCTGCCGGTAAGTCATATCAAGTCTTTTTTATTATCCTATCCAAAAACACGTCTCTTTTCCTACATCAATGACTTGGACTTGTGCCGTCTGCGACCGTATTATTCCTTTTCACCTTTTTTCCCTTTTTGCTGGGGTTGTTCATTCAGCAAATTTGCCATCTCAGCCAACAAAACTATCTTGATTCATGGGGCAGTCGTTTCCTGATTCCCTTCTGCATCTTATAAGGCCTTTGTCTTGCCATTGTTTTGGAATCTTCAGAGGCACCAGTGCTATCTCACTCACCCAACACGTGTCACATTGTCTGGATCTCCTGTGCACGGTTGATGGGTCAAAATATGCCGATGATAATACGGCCTCACTGATCAACGAGCAATAGCACGTTTCCTCTTTGAGCTCATCTATCCGCCTCGATGGGCATCATCAAGGGAGGATTGTGGGCCTAGTCTTGATCATGTGGTATTATTTTTGCGGAGCGCGTCGAGCCTCACTTGGCTTCCTCTGATTCATCTAGTATAATGATGCTTAGTTGGCTTGACCGAGTAGCTCTACTCTAGGCAGTGCAGAGCATCATTGCGCGCAGAGTCAGAATGGGGCTCTGCACTGCCACTGGTGTTCTCTTGTCTGGATGGCTATGGCCAGTCTGACCTCAGTAAAACTAGCCCCCCCGCCTGCCTGGAACTCCGTCTGTGTTTTCGCTCTTTCGGTGTTTAACACGGACTGCACCTGTCGACGGCGCTTAAGCCTATCGACCGAGCCAGCAGTTTGCATGGCTCTTTTTTCTGGCTTCCTCTTATTTTTTCGAGCTCCACTCGTCGCTCTCGGGCCGATCTTGCTCTACTCGCCCTGGTTATCGTTATTATTTTGGATCCCTTTTCGGTCATTTTGGCGGGATCGTCAAGCTTACACAATTCCTTTCTGCGCCCGCCGTATCTCTCCAAGATTGACTGACTATCGTCGACCTGTCTGGGATCACTCCTTGACATCCGAACCATAGACGATTGCAAGTTGATTGCTGGATCTGTGGTATTCTCATCGTAGCACAGGACTGTTGGCACTGGCATTGCAGTGTTGATCAGCTGGTTTCTAAGCAGACAACCAATATCCTCGTCGCTTATCTCCTCTCTCTGCCATTCTAAAGTAGGGCAGACAGGCCCCGCCGTTGTTGATGCACATACCTCAACCAGCAGTCAGGCATCCTGGAAGCTGAGACAACCATTCAACTCATAAACTTGCTTCTCCAGTACTTTCTTCTCCCAATCAGACTTGGGAGGAAAAAAAAAACCAACAACTCAGGATAAAACTGGCTGGATTGTCCATCGGGAAATCTTCAACTCTATTCGGCATTGAAGATCACTGCGTTCGACCGCCATCCTGCATACATAATCTTCAGGCTTGACGATGTGAGCAGACCTCAGACAGCAAATCATCCCCTCAATCAAACCACTGTCATTGTCTTTCCATCCACTGTTTCCCCGTTTCTCCCCCGCCTCTCCCTCCTCTTCTTTCACCGGGCTGTATATATTCAAACCTTTTCGGCCTCTTCGTCCCGGTCCTATCACAATCATCTATGCTCATGCTGAATCCCTCCTCTATTCTTTCTTCCCTGTCAAAAAGATAATTAGGACTTGCAAGTGCTCTTACTTCAGTAACTACTTCATCAATCATTCCGAATCTATTTTTTTGAAAATGTAAGCTCTCTTAACCATTCAGCGTATTCTGGATCAACAATTCAATTGATTTGTCTCTTCTGATAGCTTCAGTCTCTCAACCAAAGTTCTGGCATCCTTTATTTTTCAATCGACCCATCAGCTGTGCTCTGGCCGCCCAGTTATTCTCAGCTTGCTGTTGTGCTGCATCTTTCCGAGTGCTTGAATCATTTTTATTTGGCATATCTTCATCCTTTTCGACTGCGCACACACTCCCAAGGGCATCAGGCTGCACAGTCATGTCGTTTCCACCAACAATGGCATCTTCGGTACGTCAAGATGTGAGATATCTGCTAGCTTCATTACCGCAATCTATCATTTTTGGATGCATTTATCTGGACTTACCGAAACAATGATGATGTTTTTGATTAAAACACAGTCCTACGCCCCTTTACAGGCACTGCCGGAGGGCAACTATCCGAACTGCTCTCCATCTCTCTCTCAGAGCAGATCTGGCTCATATGACATCAAACCCTTCAGCTTGCCGTCATTAGCCTCAATTACATCTAACCTTGCCTCAAGGAGTCCATCCGCTGAGCAGTCACACACTGGGCCTCACAGGAAATCTTGCTCGTTTAGCCTATCCGGCCGCCGCCGTTTTTCTCCTCTTGGGACTAGTATTGACTACGGAGATCCTGTATCGCCCCTCGAAAGTGAGATTTCAGCCGAAGGACGTTCTAGTGCCAGCGGAATCAGCATGATCATTGCTTCAGGCCATCGTCCACGCTCTCATAGTCTTTTGTCGGGCCATTCTGTCGCGGGGAACTTCACGGAATCTGATGCACCCGTTGACGAAAGTGCATCCGACAGCGGCGGCTCGGATAAGAAAAACGAAGAGAATGATTCTTCTGCATTGGCTAAGAAACGCAGTCGTACACTAACGACGCCCTCCCAACAGCGAAGGTAAGCTTGTGATACGCTGTATCACTCTTTTGACCAGTTGCTCACCTCTTCCACCACTTCTTTCTTCTTCTGAAAACGCGGCTAGACTCATGCAGATCCTTGAACAAGTACGCGCCTGTTGCTTTTTTTGATTGGCCTGTCGTACATCTTCCTCTTGGCATCTTTTCTTCTAGTAAACCTGACATTTTGGTTTCGTCTGTTCCCCCTTAGACTCGCTTCCCTTCTACTGATGTGAGAGAACAACTTGCCCGAGAACTCGGCATGACTCCCCGAAGAGTTCAAATTTGGTTTCAAAATGTGTGTCATCAGATTACCCTCGCTGGTCATCTAGCCATGAAAACCTGACCCTTTGTCAATGGTCTTTGTTTCATCCCAGAGGCGGCAAGGCATGAAGAAAGCTCTTGAGCAGAAAACAGAACAGGAGACTTCGGGTGCCGCAGTGGTTGATTATCCTCGACCTCGAGGGTATAGTTTTGGTCCGCCTGCGGATACGTACAATGGTCGCCCAACATTGCATTCTCTTCCCGAAGGAAAAATTGCGTCGGCAGGGTTGCATGGTCAGCATACTGGCCAGCATACTGGTACGGGCGACCTGCATAACTCATCTCAGTCAATAGACGGCCTCCAGCAGCTGTACTCTTCCCGTTCAGTTTCTCGGGGCATTCCACGTGGATTGGCGCATCTTGAACTTTCAAACAATGGTGTCCCCACTTCAAACAACGATATGGGTGGTGCCTCGATTGGAGATTTTTTATGGTCAGATCCCTCCACCGCCGGCAGTCTCTACTCCTTGCCATCTGCCACTGGTGGGGAGGCGAGCTTCTCGCCATTTGCCAAACCAGATCAACATTACCCCAACTCAGACCCCACCCGCCATGAGGCAGCTCCGGTCGCGGGAAATCGCTCCCGGAGTCAGACCAACCCGGACTTTTTTGGAATTATTAACGGTCTCATTGAACTTCCGGGGCTTGGGGGAACGCCGCAAGAGTCAATAGATCCTTTCCATCAAACTTCGGATGTAAACACCCAACAAATGGTCTTGAATGGTCGGGACCAGTCCTCAAGTATCAATCACGAGTGGTCAAACAGCTACATCCAATCGGCACCCGCTTGGCAGGGGAGTTTGGATAATCTGAAATTAGAAAATCACAGCTATGGCTTGGACCGTTCAATCCACCCTTCAGCCATTGCCCCCGATTCGATTTACGCAAACTCTTCCTATAAAGTCGGGGACCCATCAAATAACTGCTACTACTCTGGAGGAACTCAAGGAAATACTGCGAACGATAGCCTTGGACCGACACCGCTTCAATTCAATCGTGAAGGCAGATACATCGGAAGCCTCGAAAACGAAACTCTGGAGCCTGATCTCGCTCAGCATCTTAGGAATCGCAGCCAATCTTTACAATTTTGACGCTGTTTGTGAGCTTAAAAAAGTAAAAAGAATACAATTGTTTGTCATACAAACCTCAAAGCCTTCACAGTCGTTATATTTACATTGGGATCTCATTAGTTTGGATTTGCTTATATTTGAAGGACCGCTCAACTTGACTCAACTTTTGGTTAATCATGCTTACTAAAATTCTCAATTCTTCTATGGTCTATTCTCACTTCTATTTAGCATTTTTACAGACATAGATTTTTTGACCTCTTGAAAGGTTTCTCGTTCAGAGTTTTATGTTTGACTTCTGTGCAGTCTTTGTTGTTCTTTTTCTTCTTCAAATTTGGGAAAGCTTAGGTCAATCAGCGTCAGCCACAAACTTCCTGATTGGACATGGAGCCTTGTATCACTAGTTTTTCTTGGTAAATTCATCAAGAATCAAGTTCAATTTGTTTTATTTTTCTTTGTTATTGATTCATCAGTTTTGCCCCCCTTTATCTTTTCTTTAATCTTTTTTTTCCTCTATGGAGTTTCTCTTCTGGATTTCTTTACATTTTGTAGCGTGGAAGGAAAGTGGTAAAAAATACTGTAACTTATTTTTAATTGCATCAAAGCTCATAAAGTTTATGAATTTCAATGCTATTGACAGTACAGTTCTGCAAAAAAAATGAATGTATCTCTCTCTAAGTTGAGACAAAAAACACTAATTATACTGATTAAGGTCATTTATTCAAGCATGGAAATTCTCACTCCTCTGGTATTAGGTGTGACTTTTCTTGCTCAATTTTGAGAGGTTTTCATGCAGTGATTGAAAGATCAAGATGTTTTGAATTCTGCCAAATTGTGATATCTTACCAAAAAGAATGAATGAGGGTTAGAAAATTCAATTGGTAGATTGTTCAGTTGCAAATTCAAATCATGTCTGAATAGCCTGGCCTCAAATATTGACCTTATGTTACATTTTCACACCTGTCTTGTTTTTCAGTGACTTTCCCATACTCTTTGAACAAACCACAAAAGTAAGTTTTAGGAATTTGGTTACTATGTCAAACCCAAATCAGAAGATGCAACAATTTTAGCAAAATGGTACCATTTTTCAAACAAACATGGCATCATCAATAATAAATCCACCATTAAAAACCAGTTGATTTTCCAAAAAATGCATTAGGTAGGTGAAGAACCAATTTTCTAAAAAATAGTGGATTTTTCCAAACCAGTCAATTAAATAATGGTGGAATTGGTAATATTTGATGCACACTAACATGTATACAACAGGGGGTATCAAATATAGGCAAATCCACCATTATTTAATTGACTAGTTTGGAAAAGTCCACCTTTTTGTATACATGTTGGTTTTTCATTAACCCCTTTGGGGGGCTTTGGATGCAAAATTTGATTCTTTGGAAAAGTGACTGGTTTCTAATGGTGGATTTCTTATATTTGATACCTCCAATTCTGATCTCACTCCAACCTGATTTCACAGGGCCTCTTCTTGCTGAAATTAAATAACACTCAACGCAATCACTCGTGTTTTCAAGTTCCTTTTTCTTTTTCTTTCTCTCTAGTATTTCTAACAATCATGATTTTGACTATTCTTGTTGATTCTAAATTTGACAAGAGCCAAATTTTAAGGGCCTTGGTTAATTGACTCCCAAATTTGGGAATTGTTGGGAGGACCAATTGGGGACTGTCTCAGGAATTCCCCAGACCATATTTTGTGGTCCACATAAATCCTGGGAATTGATAATATCTTCTCAGTGGGAAATTATTTCTTTTCATCATTGTTCTTTCCATTTCCTTTAAATGTCCTCATTCATTTTCCAAGTCTGGTTTTGTTTTTTGAAATGAAGTCTTCAAGTTTTCTCAAATTCCCACGGCAGGAATGGGAGGAAAAAATCCCATGCTTTAGGGGGCAACACAAAATTGAGGCTGGGGATGTCCTGAGACAGTCCCCAAGTGGTCCTCCTGGAAACTACTGAGATTGGGAGTTGATTAAACAAGGCCCAATCTTAATTGGATGATTATCTTAGCTATTTAGATGTGGAATGGACAGATTCAGTTGTTCTGATTATTTTGCCTTACCCATAAGCAGCAATTGTGGAAGTAAAATTTCTGCATCTCACCACTACCAGTACCATCATGAATTCCTTCCCTCTTTGGAATCATGAATGCTGATTGAGCTAAGAATACATTTACTTTTGTTTCTGTTTTTTTTTTCTTCCAAAGATGTTTTCAATCTTGACAGTATACCGTTCTTCATAACTCAGCATGATTTTCTGTTTCTTCAAATTTGACCATCTTATCAAAGGCTCTTCTCCTTCCAGTGCAAAACCTTAAAATCTAGGGATTTGTTTGTCTCAATTTATGAGCTTTATTGTACTGGTGCAGCACAATTAAATCCCTACAGCTTCTGTCTTCTGACTGTGGGTATTGTTGAGTTATTCACTCAGGTTTCTTTCTTCTTTTGTTTGCCTTTCACATGTTTTCTCATTTCACTTACATTTCACAAGGTGTATGTAGTGTACCTGAGGCAGCAGTCGTGGAAGGATTCTTTTCTCATCCTTCCACGAGCCTTGGCCACTCACCACATCGTGCCTGCTGTCCTCAGGTATGTTCTTCTCTCTGTTCTCTTGTTTCTCTTTCTTCTTTTCTCTTCTTTCATGTTCTTCTTGTATAGACTTACGTGTAATAGAATATCCTTCCACAAACCTCGGCCACTCACCACATTGTGCCTGCTGTCCTCAGACCCAGTCTAGCTCATCAGGGATAATTCAGGACTTCCATGGCAAACTAAATAAATTTGCAGAGATTTTCATCCAAAATCCAGGACAATCTGTGCCAGTCAATGAAAGGATTTTATCATGATCAGGTATGGTAAATTTGGCCTCCTCCAGAAAGCAAACTTGGCTGGCAATGAAAATGCTTCCCTCACACCAGGAAAAATCTATGCTCACTAGATGTCAAGTGACATCATGTAACATTGATTGCTGCTCCAATTGTGACCCAACTACAATGGCCCCTTTGTGTGCTACAGGGGGCTGAGGCAGAGTTGAGCGGGATATGTAATGGGTAGTAAACTAGAGTTAGCTTGATGTCACTTGTCATCAAGTGTTCATTTTTCCTGGTGCCAGATGTCAATCAGCTCTAGCATCTATTTGAGGTTGTGTGCAAAGATGAAGTTTAATGTCCAGCTTGCGCCTTGTGCCATCTCCGCGCTCCACACCCAGGGGGGAATTGTGAAGTTCCACCACAGGTGCACTTGGGTGTCCTGGGGACATCACACAAAAATACGTCCCAGGTGTGTTCCACATCCATTTAAAACAGAGATCCACCATCACAACAGCCTCACAAAAAGGCTATTTTGATGTCTTTTTAGGACCTGGGACAGCCTTGGGACAATGCCATCCCATGGCTGGATCCGAAATCCCCAATTGCACCCGCGGTGTCGATGCAGAGGGGTCCATCCCGGCAAGCTGGCCCGACCCTCAGTAGCTCCGAGTCTGGTTCGCTGAGGAAGAGTCATACCTGGAGAGCTGGTACATGGTGTAAATTTCTTTTTTGTGTTTTGCGAGATTTAAAACACTTCTCCTTGAAGAATGAACCCTATAGCTTTGGGTTGGTGACCTGCACGTCAAGTGGTAGTGACTAAGTTGTCCTTGGGAAGAACCAATTGTCATCCTCTCGTGTCACCAACACCAGCTTGACGCTCACGCTCAATGTGAAATGTGTTATCAAGTGCAATGAATGATGGAACCAGACATCTTCCCAGGAAGTTATGCCGACGATACGTGTTGCTATCCTTGTAGCTGATAGTTTATGATTGCTTTTTGCTGAAATTGGGAAAATTTAAAGTTTGCACATAAGGCCGATACACCAAGGTAAGAACTCTGCAGCAGTGAGCAGCCAAGGATGTGGAACCTTGCATGCGGCTCTTATAAACATGCGTAAGGAAGCTGATGGATTTTTACTTGAGTTATCTATGCTGGATGGCCTTCCACGATTTATTTTTTCGCTGCGCTATATGTTTCAACTCATACTCGATCACGCCACCACGCTCTGGCCATGTCGGCCACCGAGACGAAGCAGACTGTCCGCCAAACACTAAGGCCCATGCGGGGCAAGACTCCCTTGAACAAGCCTTTCAACCCGTGTTCTGAACAAATTCTTGTCAGCCGAGCAAACATCTAGAAAAGGTTTGTTGATTGATTGTAAATCAAACGAGCAGAAAACAGACCTCGGTATATGTATGACATTGTGTTCGTGATAGTCATCTTTTCAGGGCGATTGGACGAGTGCTTGGCCATTGATTGCATTTCAATTCTGACAACTTCGATCGGCTGTAGAAGTCAAGATAATTAGAGAATGCGCTAGTTAGTAAGGGGAACTTAAGTGTAGTAGGGGTGAAAAGGGTAGAACAAGGAGCAAATGAGGTACGTGGTTCCAGCATCCTAAAGCACCGCCGATGACACTGCTTATTACTTTATCGCCTGCTGTCAGCTCGAAGCCTTTGGGCTTTCCCCTGACCGTTCTGATCGTATCCTCCGCTACTCGGGTGAAACCCATCCTGGCAGAGTTTTCGAAGAATCCAAGTTGGAAAATTGATGAGTAAAATCGTAGCTTGTCTCTCGTCCGTGCCGATTCAATTTTCTTACCGTGATCCCCAGTTTGTACATTGTCGGAGAGCCACAGCATGTACGCCTTTGTTTATTCCTTGGATCCCCTCCTAGATTTACAAGTCATGCAAGCACATTTGTTTTCATAAGTGGTCAATCATCGTCTTTCATGTGATAAGACAAATTGCTGGATTATCTAGGCTCCATTCAAATTTGTTTTGCTTCAAGTAGATGGCTATGCGAAAGTCATCCGCACCTTTTTGAGTATGTCAATAAAGAGGCCCATAGTGCCCTTCGAGTTAGTACCGGTGGTCAATGACTGGATGGATTGCTTGGACCTTGTAATTTCTGCTGTCTGAACAGGATGAAGTTACCGGAAATAATGTCAAAGGAAGACAACCACGCGAAGTAGCATTATAAGCCAGCAGAACAAGATGACGGTCGCTTCTCATGGTTTTTGCAAATCAAACACATCGGAGGCAATGAAAATTTGCGAAAGACTTACTTTCATTGTAGTGCAAACACCCATACTCAAATAAGCCTGGGCAACTCCGCCACCGCACCCCCCAATAAATCCGGCCGCACTGGGTGAAAGTTTCAGATTACTAACCGAAAAAGACTCCAACTCTGCTGCAGTAAATAGGAGAATTGCCCCTGCTGAGCTCGACTCTATCCAGGCCTACATTATACCACGTGCGGAATTGCATTAGTGCGATTCGTGAGAATAGATTAGATTGTATCAGTTTCTATCTACGAATCGGTCCACTCGAAATACATCTACACATGGTCGCATTCTGAATTCTCTGCTACAAACTCCAGACCATAAGCTAGCCTGATGAGCGAAAAAAACTTACCCAGGGAATGAGACCTGGTGAATTATTTTTGGAGGAAAAGTTTGGCAACTATCAGTGTGGATCTTCAAGACACGTGGTAAGACACCACTGCCAGTCGAAGGCGCATGTTTTTCCGGAACGAAAGTCGAAGCTCGAAGGGAATGTGATCACACATTTACACCATCTTAAAACTTCCATGTGTTTTCTTCATCGGTATAGCACCGAAGAGACATGAGTGACAAGGAAAAAGGGGAGAAAAGACTGAAGATCTACAACGCTAGAGGGGACGGCGGGTAGAGGTGTGTGATCATACATACCTTGATAGAATCCCCGAATCCCACCACCTCCGCTAGCACCTCGGTACCAAACATCCCTGATTGCACCCCTCAGGCCTGAGTCGCGATGAGCAGCCATGTGGGTCTTGAGAACTTCCAGCGGTTGACCTAGTGTCGTGACCTCAAACATCGAAACAGCCGCCCCAACCAACAAATTCGCAGGCTCAATTCTTCTAGCGGTCGCCATTTCTGTCCTTCAAATCGCTCGAAAAGAAATGGAGTTTCCGATTCTGAGCAAATGACAATTTTGAGTGCGTTCAGATTGGATGATTGGAAAATTTGCAAATCAGATCAGATCAATAGTGTACCTTCACAATTTTTTTTTTCTGAAGGCAGCGGGATGCACTATCTTGCTCAGATTTATCACTGGGAAACGCGCGAGTGTGTATTGAGCTGTCCGCTCTCCCGGAAGTGCAGATAGATAAGTCACTGTATCGGTGCGAGATCAGGCAGATCAGGCGAGATGCGTCGATAAAAAGCTTGGAATGCCGGCTATGTGACGACCTCTATTATATGCGAGCTGCGATCTACTAAAATTCACAAGGAAATGCTTGGTAAGTATCCCCTCCTTGGGTTGGGAAAATCTTCGGTACTTGACGAGAAAACTTTATGAACACTCGAAAAGAACGTCCCAGATAATTTTTGAAGGTTGTTTGTTTAAGAAAGAAAAAAAAAAAGTTCTGACGTATACCTCAATAATTCAGCAGGGGCTATGATAAATAGAGCTTGTGGATATTGGGCAGGATGCTTTGCATTGTGAGTTGAGGAACAGATCAGCGGACCGCTTTTTTGACCCACCAGTTTTTTACCAGCGATTGGCCGGTGATGAGGAGCTCCACGGCCTCCGGTGGGATTCCGAATGCCAAGGTGAGGAAGCGGTGATGGATTTGAGATCGTAACTTCAGGGGGCAGCAAGTATCCAGGTACCGTACTGTTCCTTGAATCTGTTGGGCTCAAGCCAATCGAGTTGGGGACACCTGCACAGGGAATTATGAAATGGTTATGTATGGCTGATACATAAAATACTGTATATGATTGGTATAATAGATATACTATTTTACACCAGCTTCTCTTATCCCATGGGGGGGGAACAACTTGAGTCTTGAAAGAGCTGCCATATTACTGTACGACCGGCAAGGTTGTCGCCCCAATTCTGCCCGGACATGAGCACTTGTCGAGGGGAGATATGGAACGCAGACAACGATTCTCTCATTAGCAGACGCCCAATAGAGGTGATGGGGATGCGAAAGTCGACAATATCGAGATGTTCACTGATGTTTTTCTTTTCAAACGAACTCTTCAAGGATACATATTATCGGCTGATCGCGTATCATGTCTAATCAAGCACTTCTGTGCGACTCTGGGCAATCATGAAGTATATGAATAGAAAATCTATGAATTCAGTTGTCGGCAAACACGGCAGTCGAAAGCCTGAAATTGTTCGCAACCCGGCTGATACATCTGGACCGAGGCTGCTGGAGGATTGCAGCCAAGAAGCAGAAGATGGCGTGCCGCGTGGCGGTGAGCTTCCAACTTTGGCCATTGCCGTTCTCTCCTCTATTGATTTGTGGTATGGATCATTCAGAGAGTCAGCCTACGGGTTCTTTTCTCAGCCGATCATTCCACAGTCACTCGGCCCAACACTGTGACAGAAGAGGACAGCCGAAGTGTGGCCTTACTTTCCTTCGGGATATGGTCTATCTTTCTTTGATGGAGTATTCATGCAATGATTTCCTCTAGCTAAATGCCTTGCGCAGAACTGTGGCAGTGCGGAAGGAACGGCCTGAAATTGGTGTCGTCCTCAATTTGTAATCGAGTTTGGGAATCACGCTGCTTGGAAAAAGAAAAGGCGTGACTTCGCTAGCATCTTGAATCATTTTTTAAAAATAAGTTCAGTTCAAAAATTAATCTCATGAAAGGAAAAAATCACAAGTTTTCCGGAATCTGTTAAGAGAACTGTGATTGGGAAAACTCAAACTGAAGCAAGTAGATCTTGGCAATTAAATGTACAGTGAAACTCTTAGCATAGTTCTTCTGACAATACTTGTATAGTGAAGTATCAAATCCTATAGCAGAAAGATTTTGCTCATATTCCTTTGTAATGAATTGGATATGTTGAAGAAGTACCTCAAGTTCTTCTATAGGTGTCATTAAGTTTTTGGTTATCTGTTTCTTTTGTTTGCTAGGTTTCCTCCAATCTCTTCGAGGGAAATCATGATTGAGATAGTGATAGATATTTTCTATTTTTCCAAGGAATTGATTACTTGTTGAGATTAGTTCTAATTTCTTCTTCAAATTCTCATTTCCTTCAGTGAGCTTTAAAAATTGTTCTGGATAGTTTTCTTTGACAAATCCTATGACTTGGTATAATAATCTTGATTCCATCATTCTAGTCTCTAATTGATTGGCTGGTACAGGTTGATCAAAATATTCAATGATTTGTTGTAAAGTTTTTGTGACTTTTGAAGATGGAGTTTCATCTGGATTTTCAATGGAGTTGTAAAGTGGTGCATGATTATCCTTGACAGCCTTGAACAAATTTATGTTCCAAGTGTGACTGCTTAAACACCAATCTAATGTTCCAGAATGAGTCTCAAGCCTGTATTTAAAGAGATACTTCAAACAAAAATGTTCAAACTTTTTCTTCTCCTTTTCACCCAGGACTTGAGAGGAATGTTTTTTTATGAAATTTGAAAGACATCAGCTGCTGCAGGAATAAATAAATAAATTGCTTGTAAGTGCTCACCTTCATACGTATTTTTAAAATGTGATGAATACCAGCTATCAAGGAATGATTTGAGATTGGAAGAGTGAAAAGAGGTTATTCTTCCTTTATTCCTAACAAAATACCAAAGCATATTTTTGGCTGCACCTTCTAGAATATGATCAGTATCAAAAAATGACTTGAAATCTTCTAAACCAATCATCTTATGTTTGTACAAGAAGTCAACTGTTTGAAACACAAGCCTCTTGAGTGGCTCATAACTGAATTGGCTTTTGGGAAATTCAGGGATGGATTTGTACAAGTCCTTCAGTGCTGAAACATGGAATTTGTTGAAAAATCTGATGACAACTTGAGAGGTATTCCGGTCCAAAATATATTTTGGTAATTTTCTGACTTCTTGAACTTGAAGATTACTATCAATAGATTGGAAAGACAGTTCAAGGGGGATTGAAGTGATTAGTCATTCTGTTTTTTGATATAAACAATCAATCAAATGAAGATAAATGGTGACACACTCTTCATTATTTATCCTAGGCTTATTGACCAGGACATATGTATGTAGCATCCTGAGACAAGCCAGTTATTTACATAAGTGCTTTTTCTTTGTCCAGTGCCAGTGGGGGTTTTTGAATGTGTTAAATTTCTGGGCTCAAAAGTGGAAGAGGTTAGGGCCAAAAAAGGAGTTCTTATTTTTGGGAAGGGCTCACGGAAAAAGAGTGAAAAGTATCTAGTCAGGTTTAAATAGACTAAGTACAAGTGGTGAACAAGTGATTATGAGAAATGAATAGAAAAAACATATCAAATAAAACACTGAGAGGAAGAATTTAAGAAACATGAGTCTTGGAAGAAACAAACCAGACAGGGCTTCTCAGTCTCTTTTAGTCAAGCCAAATGAGTTAATCAAGAAAAACATGTAATAATCCACAGATATTTAGAGTTGTTAATTCTAATCGATCAGACTTTGAATAAATCAAACAAAAAGATCAGGATAAAAAGAAGAAATCATTGTAGAGACATGTGTTGTTGAGAAGAGCTGATCACTTAGGGTTCATATTTGACTCACCAGGGGCTTAAAAACAACAAAAGACAAGCTACTTGATGAATTTAGTCTGGTCTGATTTTATGATGACTAGAAAGGGATGAAGGGCAGAAAGAGACAGAACTGAGAAAAGCTCAACAGAATGTGTCCAGAGGGCTTGATTGGGCAGGGGGGGGGGAAGGAACTTGGCATATATATTTAAAACTCCTGGTGGCTGGGACAAACCCAAGCTTAACATAAGCCTCTTGATTGGAGGGTCCCAAAGGGACGCCCTCCAAAGGAGAGGCTTACCTGGCAAGTCAGACTGGCAGCCTGAGTACATGGAAAATTTACCCTGAAAATTGATAATATTGTGTTTAAAATTTACTTGAAAATTCCAAGCAACTCCTTCTCACTTGGCCTTCTGCATGATGATAGCCTTGCATCTCAGGTACCTCCTGTATCTTTCTTGGAAAAAGTACACCAATAATTGGCGGCTCAGTCACCAGTTTTGCTTGGGGACTCTAAGGTGTTGCATGGGCAATTGTTTGTACCTCTCGGATTACGCGCCAGGTGTCGGATCATTGAAAGTCTCACGGTTTTTTGCAGTATCATCTTATAACTGCTTTCTTCTTTGACAGCCCTTTGATGGATACTATGTGTTTGTATGCTACTACTACTATGGGTATGCTTTGAGATACAAATATATATGTACATCAGCATCTATGTGTTTAGGGCCACTGGTGCCGGATTTTACCAAGGAGGCATCCAGTACCAACGGGGACAGATTGTTTACAGAATCTCCCTCTTAGCTTGGCAATATTTGCTAGATGTGAAAGAAACCCAGCACATTGGCAGCGATAGCAGGTGTAAAAAACCCTCAGGATTTCAGTGGTGCAGGAGGTGTAGCATGAATCAAAGTGGATATGGGGGATAGTAGGTCCTGAATGGTGCTCTCAGCCATTTGGCTGGGAGTGCTCAGCCCAGGTTTGACACATTATATGCAAGTCCCTCCTTTGGAGGCTCCTCAGAGGAGGGGACTTGTGTTAAGTTTGGGACAAACCCAGGCTTCATGAAAGGAAGGGGAATTGCTGACAAACCCAGAGGCATGCACATACATAACTTATGCATCAATGCAGTCAAGATCTTTGATGAGGCTCTGTTTGGCAGGCCATGATATGATAAAATATCATAGGAAAATCCTGCAAATCTTTTCGGGGGACCGCATTTATTAGGGGGTTTCAAAATTGAAACCCCAGGTTCCAGGACCTCGTGCAGGTCCAAAAACCCATGAGGAAAAAAGTTGGACCTGGAACGCTTCCTGCGGCCCTGGGCTCCTTCTCCCCTTTCCCTTCCAGGAGGGCTGTTCCAGGTCCAGGAACCCAGGACAAAACTCGACAAAAGGTAAAAAACTTCATCAATTTTACCAGGCTTTCACCAGTCAACTTCCCCCGACGGGATCCCCCTAAATTTATTTGTCTCAACCAATCGGACTACCGGTTACACCATCCCTCTACCACTTACCAGACATCCTGCTGAAAATCGTACAGCTCTCCGACATGCCACCAAAGAAAACAATCCCTCCACCTGCGAGACCCAGTCAGCCTCCCAGTCAAACCAAGAAAACGATTCTGGATGCCATTGCACCTCATCTCCATGAGTATTTCGGAACTGAGTTCCCTCTTCGATTCACCCTGGCGCCATCGAACGTAATTGTCGTTTGTAGCAAGCCAATTGAGGAGGACAGTGATGCTACTAGGCCCGCCGTTGACGCCGTCACGGCTCCAAGATGGTTGTCGGACCATTGGGTGGTTGAATTGTTGTTTATCAAAAGTTAGTGTGCTGCCGGAAGGAAAGCGACAACAGATGGTTCGTTGGGGCGACTTGTGGTTGGTTACCCAAGGAGGGCCCGACTGGGGATTTAAGCCTTTCGGGACCCCGGTCCCCATGGAAAAAAGTCTCGATACTTAGTCTCGATACTTCCAGGCGATGGCCTTCTGGGAATCATGACAGGAAGTTTCCCCTTTGGGGGGCTTCAAACTAGAACTCCCAGGAAAACGTTTTTCACACTGTTTTTTTCCCTGGGTTTTTGGACCTGTGTGAGGTCCTGGAACCTGGGGTTTCAATTTTGAAACCCCCTATTATCATAAGTGAAAATTGTGTTTTGTTGGTCACGCTATTGCACCAAAAATCCACTGTAATAAGCAGAGGATTGTCTAGCTTTGTGATAATCGGTTTAAGGTTTATCAACCTTATTCTGAATATCCGGATTTACATATTTTTTCTTATGATATAATGGACTGCCAAACGGAGCCTGAGAATACATCACTCTTTGGAATGAATGTTTCAGGCATAACTCTGTGGCCTCATGTGGAGCTCCTTCAACTACATACCCACACATAACAAGTCCATCCACCCCACAAAAAAAAACCCCCACTGATAATGACTTGTTGAAGCTTAAAGATAATTGATGTTTTTGTTGTTGTTGTGTTGGTGGTGGTGTATGAATCATGAGATGAATGAACATAGAATATGTATACACACACATACACACATATGGTGTTGCAAGCGCGTCTGGGCACAAACCCAAGTCCCGCTTGGCCGATAGCCACCGGGGGTTTGATTTGTGCCCAGAGGGCTTGATCATGCAAGCTGTGCGGGGGGCGGGACTTGGCACTTAGAGCATCTCCATCGCAGTCCGTATATTCGGGTCCCTATCGGGTGAAAATACGGACTCGGAAATGCAGTTAGGGACTCAAGGACTTGTTCTGCCGCACCGGGTAGTCTGTAAATCGAAGTGATATTCCATCATTGGTGCGGTGTTGAGAGGATGTTACAAGAGGTTGTGGTTCGATGTTGTGTGACATTTACAATGAGGTGTGCTGTGAGTGCACAATCCTCGGTCCCTATCCAATCCCTGGATCCAGGGTCTGGAGAGGGACCGAGGATGAAATCCGTAAAATACGGACGCCGATGGGGACCGCGGTGGGAGTTGATTTTCGGTCTCCGGTCCCTAAATGCGGGATAGGGACCCGATTTAGGGACCGCGATGGAGATGCTCTTAAGCCAAGTCACCCCTGTCGACTGCCAACTGGCTATTCAGTAGCCCTCGTACACCGAGTTCGCAGGCTACACTAGGTCATCTGAGATGACCCTCGCCGCCCCTCGCCCCGCTGGCTGAGGTTTACATAAGCAGCTCGTCCGAACTCGCAAATCGAGTTCCATCAGCTCCCACCGCTGCGCAACTGCTGGGGATCGCAGCATTTGCGCACCCGATCATCAGCATTTTTTTTTTCTTCACCAAGGCCCTTGTCGCGTCCAAGTTCCTCATCGTGTCATGACTCCGATCAGCCAAACACCTACCAGTCTACATTTTCAGAGATGATCAACCTAATGAGTGTTCCGCGCCGCATTCTCAACCGTCTGGTCCACCCAAAGTTACCATCCCCATGAATACATAAGTTAATTCGTCAGTCACCTCTCACGACGGCTTTTTCTTTCATCCAGCTACTGCCTGCTGGTTTTCTCACTATCTTCCTTGTTGACTCCTTGCGATATGCCATAAACTGCCAGCAGAATTTCTTGATTTCATGGTTGTTTGCTCCATTGCGATCTACATATAAACGACCTGCTGAATTGCTCACTTTCTTACTTGTTTTCTCCTCGCGATCTACACACAAACTGCCTGGTGAATGGGCCACTTGCTTGCTTGTTTGCTCCTTGCAATCTACGAATAAACTGACTGAGGTACTCGCTTGTTTTCTCCTCAAAACCTGCACTCAAACTGTTTGTTGATCCTCATCAGTTGCTATACCCTTCCAAGGGGTTTGGTGTTCAATTCCCTAAGCTTTCATGTGTTCCCCAATTGGTAATATTTTCACATATTCTTTGGAATTTTTGGTCCAATCAACATGTCAGCTTGGTTCACTGTGATAGAGAGATGTGAAGTTGATAAACTCAGTTGCATGAGAAAGCATGATTGTTTGGTGTCAAAATTTCATCCAAGTCTATCCAAGTCACACAACCTGACTCAAACTAAGCTTGTTTTGCTGAATAACTGTTTGATTGCATCCATCCATGTCACACGGAGATACTTTGATGTGTAGTGAGGACTTGGTTAATGTTTGCCCAAGTTGAGAAATTGTAATTGAGTCAATTCAATAAGTATCTTGGTGTGAAATCAAATTGGATTTGGTGTGTTGAAAGATGGGTAGTAAATGGTAGATGGGAAATGTTATAGTGTAATTAAGATTGTTGTCAAAATTTTAATTATTGATCAGGAAGAATGTGAAATCTTGAGTTGAATTGATAAAAAACAACTTGCAATGTACTTGATATCTGTAATGGTTTTGAGGGATTAACTTAAATTAATAAAATCTAACTATCTGCCATAGGGATTGAGAAGAAAGAAATATGATAACACTAGTATTGCCCTTGAACTTGGTTGAAGGTATCTACTTTTGCAAAGGGAAATTGCAACATACCTACCCATTTTTACCAATTATTAAGTAGACTATACAACCTATGGGAATCTGACATCTCCAAAATGTACATCATGGAACAGTTGAACATCAACAAGAATAAATATAACTAAACATAACCAAGTATACAATAAATTGATCTCACATTGGTTGGAGATATTTCTTGAAGGAGTGAGAGCAAAGAAATCAGACAATACTATAAATTTTGTTATCAGACTGATAATACCAGTATTGACCCTGAGCTTGTTCCAAATTCCGATATCAAACAAACTATCCAATTCATTCCTAATTTTCCTAATTTTGTTGGTTTATGATATATCATGGAACATTTTCAACAACAAGAACCATGTCAAGGAAATTTTCCAATAACTGTAACTGAATATCCACCCAACTGCACTCAACTTTGGATAACAAAGCCTGATGTTCAAGTAGCAATTTGAATTCTGCTAAAGGAGAAACCTTGAAATCTGATCAAACTAACTCTAATTGTAGACTAACTGTGAGTAAAACAATATTTGTGTGGTTACCTCACTTTCAATAATTTGCAAGAATGCTGTACCCTAATAATATAAGATTGTTGCAAGTGAGTGTTATAACCACTATTTATCCAAGTCATATACAGTATGTTTGATTAAGTGTGTTGGGAGTCATGTGATTGTGGGATGTGGGTTAATTTGACCACATATTTTGAGCAAAAGCTGTAGAAGTATTATAACAAAACCAACATTATGGGATGTGTAAGTATTGTCAAATAACAACTGTGTTATTTTACCCCAAACAAACATTTACCCAAATTTTCATTATTTCACATATAACATGCATGCAAATAGCCATTCAGTATCTAGTGTGTATCTTGCACACATTCCACACAGTCATGAATGTACACTCCTGGATCAGTCATAATAAAAATTGGATTGAGCACTCTACTGAAGGACACATGGACACATGACTTGAATGTGACTTTTGGGGCAGTGTCAATTTTTTCCCTGATTTCTCAATAGGCAATTCACTTGTACTACACAAAAGCAAACAGAAAGAGCAGAACACATAGCAGTCATCACAGAAGAACAAGAGAAACATATAACAATCATCATAATCAAACATGAGTTGATACCAACACAAATTCTGTGTGAGATGAAAGCATTTGAAAATCAACAATAAAGAAGCAGGTGAAAAAGTGTGCAAGCACACTATGTATCCCACATTTGATGCTTGAGCCAGATTTCTCAGCATCTGTGCTTCCATTGCCTGTGCAAAGTATGCCTGGAACTCTTCATCATCCCCATCATCTGTAATACCATCAGCATCAAGATCACCCTTGTCAATATCTTCCGGTGGCGGAGGAGGATCATCAGTGTCCAGTTGTGGGAGCTCGTCATTTTCTGGGAGGTGAGATAAGAGGCTATGGTGCACATCACCTGGTATATCTGAGAGGAATCCAAAGCGTCTAGACACTGTTATCTTAGTGAGCTGCTGTTTCCAAGATTGTAAAAGTTCATTGCCTCTCCTCTGAGGGGCAGTTTTCTTGAGAACCTCAATGATTTTAACATCCCAATCAACTTGTAGCTGACTGATAGCAATCAAGTTACTGTGAGCAATAGCTACAGCTGATTGGACTTTGGCAGAAAAGGAACTATGGGATCGTAGAAGTTCATGTGGAGTGCAGCCCTAGAAGTACGAGTTCGCCGAGAAGAACCGGTGAAGATGGTTTGATTGCGAGTATTTGATCAGGACGAGGCCCTTGAGTTGAATTGGTCCCTGGGCATGTTATGCGATACGATTCAAATGTAAGCGCGTCAGTAGAATTCGGAATCGTGCAGACCGAAGATCACCGGTGCTGATGAGCAGGGAAACGGGCAGCAATGGGTGGAACCGGCGGCGATGAGCGGAACGGGCGTCGATGAGCGGAAAACGGACGGCGATTAGCGGAACGGGCGGCGATGAGCCGAAGGAATGAGCCGAAAACCGGGATATGTATGCTCCTGTGTGACAGGACGCTATATCCATGGTGTCATAAAACCATAGTCGAGGGTTAAGCTTTTGCGCATCCCTGGCAGTTGCGCAGCGGTGGGGGTGATGGAACTCGATTTGCGAGTTCGGACGAGCTGCTTATGTAAACCTCAGCCAGCGGGGCGAGGGGCGGCGAGGGTCATCTCAGATGACCTAGTGTAGCCTGCGAACTCGGTGTACGAGGGCTACTGAATAGCCAGTTGGCAGTCGACAGGGGTGAGCCAAGTCCTGCTGGGCCGATTTCAAGCCCTGGGCCGATTGGTGGCTCAGGCGCTCCCCTCCCTCTCAAAGACCCGTACAAACGTAGTCGCCGAGGACGGGAGATACCCGTCTCGACGCTTGTTATACGGACAGAATCACCTAATGACGGTACAGCGACGGTCATCGAGGATTGACCGAGTAGTGAGCCGGTCATCAAGAAGGGATTCCTTCTCGATGGCCGGCATTTTGGTGGGCGTGGCACCCTCGCTTGATTTCGGTCAAGCGAGGCTTTGCTCCGACCCCCGCCAAGTTTGACATGTGCCAAGCGGGGGTTGGGAGGGTGTCACGCGGGCTTGACAATCGGCCAAGCGGGCTTTAAGAGCGGCCCAGCGCGCTTGGCCTGTTTTCGGCCGAAGTTTGGTGTGTGCCCAGACGGGCTTGCAACACCATATGTGTACATAAGAATGATCATGATATAGGCTTCTCTCTCAATCAATTAAACAAAGAAAAGTGGACAACAACAACGAAAAAAACCAATGACTCCAAACCAAAGAGTCAATATATGGAGAGATAGACATCAAAGAACTCAAGAGGGGGTGAGAAGGGGGAGGAAACAGAACTCAATCGACGATAGCGTTCCAATGGTTGATATAGAGCCGATAGACCCATCCGTTTTTGGGGAACTGTTTAAGCCACTGATTATGCAAATGGATAGCGAACAAGTGGTCCAATTTATGAGCGAGACGCTTGTCCCAATTCTGCCTATCGAGGGCCGAGGGGAGGGAAGGATCATTAGCGAAGGGGTCGGGGATCCGATCCTTGAGTGTGCAGGAGCGGCCGTCGGTGAGACAGTAGGGCAAGACCTTGAACGGCGTCACCCCCGAGCTCAACAGACTCCGGTACAGCCGATGGTATAGCCGTTGGCCCCAGTCCGTAGACGCTCGTCGCGGCCAGGGCGGCTTCGACATCATCTCCATCATCTCACATAGGTATGGAGAGTGTTTTAGGAAGTGCATGATGTGTCCATTCAGCGGTTCATATGGTTTATCTGTTTTTTTGGGGTCAAAATCCTCATTAGCAGATGGATATATCAATTGGATGTTTTTTTTTTGAAAGATCAGGTTACCATAACAGTCCCATTGGACGACCCATTCGTGTTCAGTGAGCACCCGAAGGTCGCGCAAGACGAGGTTATCCATGTCGATCCAGAGGCCGCCGTAGTGCCAGAGGACGAGGACGCGGACGAGGTCGCCGTCGAGCCAGGCCTTTTTGTCGAAGATCGAGTTGAGGAGATGGTGTTCGTGGAGGGGTGTGTGTTTGGAGAGGGAGAGGAGGTCGATGATCCTGAGACTGAGTCGGTCGCGATAGCGGTAGAGCAGGGGGGCCAGAAGCGGGTCGTTCTCCAAGGATCGGGTGGACGGGTTCGTCCAGAGGATTAGTTGACTGATCGGTTGGATCGCATTCGGACTCGTCCTGAAGTCTTGGGTGGCCAGCAGACTCTTGAGGGTGATGATCTGTCGTTCGGAGATCGGGGAGAGGTCTGAGCGCCAGTAGAGATGGTAGTAGGTCAGCTGTTCTCCGTCGATGGTATGTGAGCGTAGCATGGCCTCGGTGGGCTTGGGTGGGATGGTGGATGCGAATCGGTAGCAGTCGTCATAGTGTGGCAGGTTGAATCCGGGGGAGAGGGAGAGCACCTTGGGCTGGAGTCCTAGGCTCCCCTGGGACAGGTTGTAGGCTGGTGAGGATGGGAATGAGCTGGATGCTGGCTGGAATGGGTTGGTGAGATATTGTTCTGAGAAGCATCGCTTGGATAGTTTGGGTGGGTCTGGTGGCAGGAGTTGGTCGATTGAGTTCCTCGTGTAGAATGCGATTTGGATGTGGGTCTCGACTAGGTAGTAGAAGAGGAGTGCTCCGATGAACAGGGTGGCTAGGATGAGCTTGTACTTTGTTCTGAGCAGCTGGAGTACTCTTGTCTGTCTGAGTCGTTGGAGTGCATGCTGGGTTCGATGGCTGCTGATGGATGCTGCTGCTGTTGTTGTTGATGATGTTGTTTTCCTGTTGAATGTGGGTAGACTGTTGCTGTTGGTTGATGGGCTGGTGGAGTACATGGTTTGTTCTGGTTGATGTTGTAATTTTCTTCAGCTTCTTCCCAAAGACAAACTCAACATCACCCCACCCAACAATGAGATATCTCAGCTACTCTCTCAATTCTTTCTTCTCCAGATGCTTTTACCAATCACACAAAAGCACATTTCTAATGCTACTTATCCTCAATGTGCTGTTGGAATAAAGGAAGAGTGGACAATGGTAGAGGAAGAAGAATTTATTTGGCCAAAACCAACCTTTGACCCCCCCAAATCGTCAAACCTCTCCCAGGCAAACATTGCTTGAGCTCAGGTTTGTCCCCCAAATGAAGATTGAGGCTGAGATACAAATAACTAAAAATACATTCTTTGGTTGCGGTAAGGTTTTCCACATTTTTAGGAACTGTACAACAGCCTCTATAAACATTCACCTTTTTTTACAAATTAATGGAGCAAGGCCCCAGTTCGACAGCAAGCTCTCCATAGTAAGTAACGATAAATAAAACATGCGAGAAGAGATAAAAAGAAAGGAAGAAAAAGAGCTAATCTCCCTATTCATCAGATTTTGATTGTTCTTGTTTTACGAGGGTGTAATCAGGTGTCCTGGTGGACCTCTTCATGATCATCATCAGCAGAAGACTGGATGATTTGTTGAGCAGCCTCAAACGGGCCATCAGGTGTGACGGCTTGACTCAACCAGAGATGCGAGCTGACACAATCTTCGACAGACTTGGCGGCCAAATACTCGCGTCCACACAGATTGCCGGCTGCGAAGAGGCACCGCTCAATCCCGCTCGAGCTTGCACAACAGGCTAGATAATCCCGCGCCAGCAGGCTCAAGATTGGGAACTCATCCGCATGCTCCTGAATTAGTCACTTCACAGTCAGCATATCTTAACATCAAAAAAAAAAGAATGATGGAAGCGATCGTTGCACTGACCTTCCACCATGGTAAGCTTTGGGTCGATTTAGATGTCACCATTTTGTATTTACCCCTCAAATAGATCGATAGTTCATCCTCAGGTGTCGATTGGACGGAATCGGGAAACAAATCCATATTTTCAAGGAACCGTTGATTATGACTGCTCTCGATTGGAAGTTCGGGTTGGGGAGATGGCTCTTTGGGGGGTTGTTTGGCTTCAACCTCACGCTTTCGTTCCGCAAATTTTTCTTCAAGTAGTCCCTTGGCGCGCGCGTAGTGAGATGGATAACACATCTTGATCAGTGCGAGTCGGAAGCAAGGGTTCAGCGCAGTAGCAATCAGGATCGCATCGCATTTGAGTGTCTCGGTCACACAAGTTTCGAGTTTGGAGAGCATCTCGTCTGTCATCTCCTTCAACTCGGGGTCGCTTGCAGATCGTGCCTTTGATTGTAGATAGTCTCCAAGACACCTGTACTCATCAAGAATCATTGATCCCGATGATATATCCCCTTCCATTTTCTTCATGAGGAAATAAAACTCCTGTGTGGAGAATTTCCATGGCATTAGTATGGGGACAGGTACTGAAGAAGGGATTGAACTGGCCCAGTACTCACGCCAATGATATCATTGAAGTTCTTGACAGTTTCCCAGTCAGCTTCTGATATTCCCACTTTGTTATAGTAATCTTCCCCCCCATCACGCTGCTGTCGATCACGTTCGTTCTTGATTAGCGTGTCGATGACATTGCGCGCCTTGAAAGCCCGATCGCGGTTTTGAAATTGGTAACTCCAGTCTAACACAAAGTTCGGGATCAAACGAGGCCCGACGTATTCCAAATTCTTTGCCCAAGTATCAAATTCAGATCGTCGGGATAAAGATGCAGTAGTCTTTTGCATCACAAAGTCAACCTGGAGATCAAAAGGAATGAAAATGGTTGGCCCGCAAGTATGTCTTTGAACAAACAAACACATCATTATCCCATGTACCTTTTTCAAGATAAAGTTGATCTTGTTGGCACCCAGTGCCCGACTCTTCTGTGTGTTGGAGCAATCATCTTCTGATTTTGCCTTATCATGGTAGTGGTACAGCAAGACGTCATCCCCAATCATATCACCCTCATCATAGTCGGGTTCGAGGTCTGGGACAGAGCCGAGAATGTCTTCTTTGAATGGTATCTCGTCTTGCTGCTCAACAGGTATGGCCTTCAGCCCGGCATTGAGGATCAGTGTCAGTTTGTGGGAGAAACATGGGATTCGGTCATCGGATAGATTGATGCTGGATGTGATATCCACATTTGTTGCAACCTCCTCCGGCATCGGTCCGGTGTTAGATCCGGAGTCAGTTGTCTGTGCAACAATGTGTATTTCCAAGAATCGATATGAGCATGGAATTGAATTCTCGGGGCAATTGAAATAAAAGCATTGAAGTTGAACAACTTATCTTTTGAGAAAGACCAGTTTTTCGGAGTATGTTCGCAATGGGGATAGCCATGTATTTACCCTTGAGAATTGAGGGTATATACTTCAACGACAGATGGCATGTTTTGAAGATCCAATCGTCGGTTATGTAGGCAACTGATATTCCCAAAAATCCATAAGGGAGTCTTCTGGTAATCCACATATCATGGATGAGCGATACCTGGGATGGAAGCGACTATAACAGGCCGAAGATTCTAATCGGATCAGGAAAATGATTAAACCTAGCTTGCGAGGAAAGTGGTAAGAAACAAAAAAAACTCACCTGGATATCGGATAAGACTTTTGCCTGCAAGTTGCAGTATAGGTTATGAACCTCCTTTGCTGCCCAAGCCGCAGAGTATAGCTCCACTCCTCGCCGAGCATAATCGAAACCCACTCGAAGCAAAGTGTCTTCGATGTGCGTCCATGCAAGAGGAAGGCGGATGAGCGAGATGACGACAAGCTGATTGAAGATCTTGGTATCGAAACTGGCACTCTGGAGAAACGTGGTTATCCCGCCTCGCTCCCGCCCGGTCTGTCTACCTGCGAGCTGCTTGGCTGTCAATGGCAGTTTGGCAGAAGCTTGGATAGCTTTATCCCGGGAAGAGCAAGCCGTTTGGTGAATGTTGCCGTCTCGGTGCTTGTATAGGTTTGCACGTGTGCCGTGGACCTGCTTGTAAGAGTTGTCGCACCATTTACATCGATACATCGTTGGAATTTCATCCTGTCCGTTTGAATCATGAATTCGAGAGGTTGGTGGTCAGTAAGTAAGTCGAGATAGAGGTCACCGTAGTCATGAAACGTTATCTTACGTTCTTATCCGCTAGAACTGGGGGGTAGAAGTATTGCTCAACGTCATCAAATTCCGAGGAATCTTTACTTTTATTACTCCTTTTTCTCTTGCTCTTCGCTCGCCCAGTATCTGGGTCTCGGGCTTGGTCCATCGCGCCCTGGGGCGGGGAATTCGACCAGCTTCTGATTCAAGTCGCGCTTTCAGGGATGGATGAGGCTGATGTGGTTCTTGCTTGTGTTGAGGTGTAGGCTTGGCCGTGTTCGCATTTTCGTAGCTGCACGATGGTCCAACGGCCAATGATCGCATGAGGCTCGGATCGGTGCGCCATTGCGCACTGATCTCCGCCGCGCAGGCAGGTGCAAACCCTGAACCCAAGGCTCCTACTGGCCCCTCAAGCTCCTTAGAAATCCTGCTCATTACGGGATTGTAATGGTATCCACCTCCTTACCTGGTTCGAAAAAATAAAACACTTTCATTGTTTATATTCAGCGGTAAGCCCTGCTAGTTTGTGAATAGGGTTTACTATATTTCAGGTCAACCTAGGGGAAAGCCTCATAGCTGGTCAGGAGGGTTTCCTCCTGGCTGAGTGGGGGTTGTGTATGAGCTGGGCAACCAGGAAAGCCTCCCATCCAGATGAACAAGATTTCAAGCCCAGGAGGAAATTTATAGGGGATGACCATATCACTGCGATAACCCAAAATTGAATGCTCATGTGTCTGCTTATAAGAAGATCTGGTCTGACCTCATACATGATCAGGAATCTTTATTTGATGTCTGACTTGCAAGAGTTAGTGGATGGCATATGACTCATTAACATCAGGATTTTGTAGTGCAACTTGTGCTATGCACTCTTTGGCATACCCAAGGAATTTTACCACTGGCAAGCCTAGTGCCACCTTTGAAAGAGTGAGCATCAAGACATGAACAAGTGTTGGTCAGAGATCAAGGTCTAGGAGCCGCACCTTTGGACGGGACAGTGGCAGCGCACTGTCTCAAGGCTTGTCAGCTCCGGTCTCTTATGTAACCAGGAGTTGATAGGGCTTTTGGGTCACACTATAGCCAAGAGGACCAGTGGAAATAAAGTCCAACTCAACACTGTTACAGTGAAGGGACTAGCTCCTTATAAGAATAAGGGACAACTGTGGGATGAGCTTCACAGTGCCTGAGCTTTTGAGAATATAAGAGAAAAGGGTTTTTACTAGTCTATAAAGTTAAAGACTTAACTTATATAGACTATTGATAATAATAAGAGCAAAGTACACTAGTTAAACTGACAATAAACTACTTAAAACCACACTCACTATTTATATGTATTATAGTAAGGTACTTGGGTTTGTATGGTAATAATTGTCTGGGGGATGAATCTCAGGGGGAGAGCCATCCTCTTAAATATTACAGAGCAGGGGTCAATCTGCTTCTGGGACCGGTGCAGTCCCCTTATTGGTGCACTATTCCTTGGGGGAAAGTGTCAGGATATTCAGAGCATGTTAAATGTACATGTGATGAATATCCTTTATTTCAGAAAATACACATAAGAGAGATAAACAGAATATATATTCACACAAGAGAGATAAACAGGATAATCATCTCTTGGATACACACAAGAGATAATTATCCTTTGCAATTTGATTATTATTTTCATGAGAGAGGTACATTAATTATCCAGAGAGAGAGATAAATATGTACAGAGGTAAATCATTATTAATTTAAAGAATACATATAATAATATTTATTATTATGTAGCCTGGAGGGGTTACAATCTCATGTAGACACATGGACTAGTGTCTCAGTGTCTGACAAGGCTTCAGAATTGAACTTTTTCAATCATGGGGCTGCAATGCCATCACTGGGGTGTTTTTACGACGTCAACCAACACACTTT